CCCCCCCCCCCTTTCCCCCACTGCTTTCATATTCTCATTAGCTGAGACACGAGGTTCAGACTAAACATTGCCAACATCCTAACCCTCATAATTTGAAAGTTTGCCAGTGAAAATATGGTTAATTGACAGTTTACAGYATWWATAGTTCTCCTCYGGACTTTTCTATCTTCCACCATTCTCTTGAATATGTTTTGTTTTCATGTTCAAAATCAGTTTGTCACAGCTGACTTTGCCAGTAAAAACTGAAGAGGAGATGTAGTTTKCAACAACAAAGGAGGCGTTTTTCTTCAGGAAAGTTATTAAAATGAGCTAAACAGCATACATAACTACGTAGTATACCCGAGAGAAGTCATTAGGTACGTCGGCAATTGTTAACCTGCGCCCAGCCGGTATAATTTCTCTCAAAATACCCCTCTGTATGTCCATAAAGAAGTCACTGTTTGGTTTTGTGTTGGTCAAAGTTATTGGCTGTTATAAGGGCTACTTGTTAGACTAGCACATTATTGATTACTTGGGGGGAAAAGACATCTTTTGTTGGTCAGTTGGTACTACTCGGGATACGGGGTGTAGCGGGATGAGGAAGGACAAGGTTTGAATCAACAAGCTSAATGTTTTGCTGCTGATCAATTGAATTGCCATTATTTTAAGATTCCGCTGTTACACGAGTGCTATTTGTCTTTAACTTTMCCTTTCCCTTTTTGTTCCTTAGATGCAGATTAACCCAATTGTTCTACACGGCCCAGAATGAAAATATCTTGATCTATAAATAAAACCTACTTCCTCCCGTTGCTGAAAACCAATTTACAAGTAAAACTGGTTTAATAACCGGATTTTAAAACATTTTAGAAAATATGGTATAAAAGGTGAGCTCCTAGATGCAACTCAGAAAGGTGCCTAAACTATCGGACGGACACATAGTTCATTCCAGAAACGTTCAAGTCAAGTATTAACGATTTGGGTTGCACTTTTGGTAAGTTAAACTGAGGTATGTTACGAATATCCCTATTTCTAATTTAAATTTAAATTTAACTAGCCTATAAAATCCAGTAGAGTGCCGACGAGATCTATAGGATTCCAGAAATGGTTGTCCAGTAGCCTTTCGAAACCTCGACAGAAATTTAGTACAAACTTTCTTTTCATTAAAAATAAATTAAATAAATTATGACGAGCTGAAGAGCCCATTTTACGGTAAACAGAATGTAGTCTTGGTTGCTACAGATAATAGTTAATCCGATTTCCGTGATGTCAAGATGACGAATACCAGGCAAAAACATCAAGCATCTGTAAATATGCATACACTCGATCTATTTAGAGTTATAAACCATGTCGCTCGGCTATGAAAGTCCCAATAAGACACCCAAAACATAATATACTTGTCATGTAATCACTTATTACCTGTAGCATTAAAAATGCCAGTGAAACAATTTGATTGAAATAAACATTTATGAAAATATATACCTTTAACCCGCTCCCAAAAGAACAACACCAGCAACACAAGCTAAGAACAGACGTATTATGTACAAAACAGAAACAGAGTCACATCTTTCACAAAATACAGTGATCTAAGTAAGCATACAAATTATACAGGTATACGAGTACCTAAGAATAAATGTGCCTACAGATCTAATACATAACACGGACAGTGATCTAAGTAAGCATGCAAATTACACAGGTATACGAGTACCTAAGTATAAATGTGCCTACAGATCTATTACAAAACACAGTGATCTAAGTAAGCATGCAAGTTATACAGGTATACAAGTACCTAAGCATAAATGCTGCCTACAGATCTAATACATAACACGGACAGTGACCTAAGTAAGCATGCAAATTATACAGGTATACAAGTACCTAAGCATAAATGCTGCCCACAGATCTAATACAAAGACAATAAACGCACATCACATAATAAAATAAGAGCAAAAGGGTTAGATAGGCAGTGATAATGTGTAAGAAAAACCTGAAATCCTTTGATCTGGCCCAATGGTTCATCGAAACGTTCTCAGTGACCCTTTCAAATAAAGCGCCACAGTAGAGTCACATGACGTAAATATTGTTTCAGTGATGTAATGTGCCGTCCATTGATAGTGGCATACAATGTGCTCATGCTGTGTTAATCCGTACGATGACATGCATTACGCAAGTATTCCCTATGCAATGAATAGAAATGAAATCTGAGACCAGCACTTTGAAAGTGCTGCTTCACGCCGGTAACTAAGCCGTGTAGCTCGTCATGACACGAAGTGTTTTTTTCTGAATCAGTAAACAGACTCGACAAGAGTGAAAAACGTCTGCGTATGCTCTGAATCCGTAAAATTAGTCAACTCATATGTAAATTTGACTTTCAAACATTCCTGRTAGATTGGACTTCACATAGTGAATTCCTTCATATTGTGTTTGTTAATAAAGTATTTTGGTCTGACAGAAGTACACTCACAAACTTTTCTATATACTTGGAAAAAACGAACATTTGTTTTCTCACTCAAACTCTAC